CTCTCTCTCTCTCTCTCTCTCTCTCTCTCTCTTTCTTTCTTTCTTTATGTTGGAGTCTCACTCTGTCGCCCAGGCTGGAGTGTAGTGGCACTTTGATCATGGCCACCGCAGCCTCGACCTGCTGGGCTCAGGTGATCCTTCCACCTCAATATTCCAAGTAGCTGGCACTACAGGCACATGCCACCATGTCCAGCTAATATTTTGATTTATTGTAGAGATGAGGTCTTGCCAAGTTGTCCAGGCTGTTCTCGAACTCATGTGGCAATCCTCTCACGTTAGCCTCACCAAGTGCTGGGATTATAGACGTGAGCCACCGGACCAGGCCAGCATTTTCTTTTTTCTTTTTTTTTCACCTCTCCCCTCCCCTCCGCCTGTGTAATGCCACAGTCCCTGGTCAGTGTTTTCTTTCAATGAAATGAACTGTCATTGATCTTACCAGTTTGTATTTATTTTTAATTTTTTGGTCACATGTAAGACTTTAATTTTCCTCCTCTCTACATAATTCCTTGCTTTGGTGTGGTTTTGGAGAAGATTTTTCTAGTCTTCTAGTTATACTGAGGGCTTGGGCTATGGGTAATCTTATTTGTATTTAGGAAAGCACTATTTTCCTAAAAGAAACTAGGACTTGAAAAATCTTTTTTTCCCTTCTTCACCTCTCCACTAAGAAAGATGGTAGAAAGGAAGTAGATTAGTAAAGACATTGCACATAATATAAACTCTTTCTTTGAATCTTACACCAATAAAAAAAAATCTACCCACTTAAAATCTTAAGAAAAATAACTTGAGAAACGGCAGCTTACTCTTGTCTAGTATTGTCACCGTCTCTCAGAAAACAAAACAAAGTTCACTCTTTTCACCAAAGGAAAGGACAAATTGTCATCACTTTTAATCTTCTGTGGGGAGCATCCATTCCTCTTGCAGTTCAGTGAAAAATCTCTCTTTAATATCTTGCAAAATAAGTGTTTAAATTCTAAAGATCACCACCACCAACATCACATAGTTAGAAATACAAAGGGACAACAGAACAAGGAAAACATATGACTAGTTACTACAGTGCTATTTTTCTACAGTTATTTATGAGGCCATCACTGGTATACTTTTGAAGATTTTTGATGCTGTTCTCATTAACAAACAACATTAAAATTTCAATGGCTTAAAATAAATTGATTTCTCCCTCCCAACACAAGTCAAGTGCAGGGTGGCTAAAGACTGTTCTACATCTTGCTCCCTTCAGGATACACGTTAATATATTTTTAATATCATCAATAACTGTCGGGGTGATCTATCACAGAAACAAAGAAATGAGTACCACATGTTCTCACTCATAAGTGGGCCTTGTGCAATTATATAATACTATAAGAAAGCAATTGGCAGTAGTGGGAAACTGCTGGGGAGGGGCACACCTCATCAACAAGGGTACCTGCATAATGACCACTTGTATATCTAACCCTGAATTGTATCCCACACTTTTAAAATAAAAAAAGGAAAATAATGTTGAGGCTATTATATACTTCCATTTTTAAGGGCTAGAGCATATCGACTTAAATTTTATGTTCTATGACCCAAGACAGTCAAATGGGTATACGTGCGCGCGTGCACACACACACACACACACACAAATACACACACATAAAAACATACCAAATGTTAGGAAAAAAATATGTTACTTTTTTATTATCTATCAGCTCCAAACACAGCATTTACTACTTTAACTTTGTGATGTTGGGGATCAGACATTGTAAATTAAATTACCCTGTCTTTATTTGCCATCATAATTTATTGATAGACACTAGCACCAAGAGAAACTACAGCAAAAGTAGAAAGTGTGAGAAAGTAAGGAAATTTCT